GACTAGGTTTAGGTTTTAAGCAAATAAAGTACCAGTTAATGTGAAACTCGTTCACAAAGAAAAACCAAAAGCATAATTTCCACCCCACCCCCCAGGCTTTCTCCTTCACCTTTTCATTTTACTTCAGAACACATCGCCACCTGACGTACTACATCTTTTATTTGTTATTTCTCTGACTGTTAGTATGTACGCTCAGTGATGGCAGAGAATTCTGTCTGATGCCAAGAATGGTAACTGGTATAAAGAGGCCAGTAAATAATTGTTCAAACTTGTTTGTTTCTATCAAAATTCAATTAAATTTAGCTAAATTTAGGGGGAGGGAGAGGAAGAGGAGGGAGGGAGAGAGATTGCCAGACAGCAGTGTCTTCCAACCTACTTCTTGACTTGCTTTAATGTGGCAAAGGTAATATTTCTTCTCTATACCCAGGGTAACATTCAAGCAAATCCTCTAAACCAGATCCAAGGAAACAAGATTCTCAGTGTCAAATATGAGCCACCACTCAATAACTGCAACAAAAACAAAGGACCAAATGTTTTGATTACTTAGGGAGAGATATGCCTGTCAAGCATAGCCTTCTTGAATAATGCAAACTGCTGATCTATAGAATTTTGGGGAAGACATTGTTTTTGGTATGTTGGTTACAGGCGGGTTGATATCAGCCATAGAAGCATGTTTTATGGTTGGTTACAGAGGGGAGAACAGGTTAACGTCAGCCTTAGGAGCAAGTGGTTCTTCTGTTGCTGAATGGCTGAGTTTTAAACCCTGAGGCTGTCACTGATTGGTTGGCTGTAAATGCATATTCACTGAAGTGGGTTGTCACTGATCTATTAAACAATGTTTACTTGTTACCATGGCTATAGAACTGTCCTTTGGTTACACAAGTTTAAAGGCAGCTATGGTGGTGGTTACTATGGCTATAGAACATCTTTTCCTAATAGTATGAGGACAGGAGTCACATCTCTTTGCCTGAGAATGGTCTTTTTCCTCAAAACTTAGCCCTGGAAATATTATATAAGCCTGTCAGTAGATACAGAACCCTATCTTTTATCGTAAGGATGTGGCCATTTCATATGTCCATAAAGGGGAGCTGTATAAAGTGAGCACACATAGTGGTAGCCTGATAGTTGTACCATTATAAAATCAGAGGATTGACAGACAAAGTGAACAACTTAAAGAGATGAAACTCAGAAAAATTTTCAGAAGTAACATGGATACAGGGAAGGAAATGAAACCTCTTCTGGTATCCCTGTGAGTGGGGAGGCTGCTGCTGGGAGGCCTGAGCTTGTTCATTCTTTTCTCTGTTTGCACCACTCATGAAGCGTTTACTTTTTCCTGTCTTTTAAAGTGAAGGGTTCATGTCAAATCTCCCTCAGCTAGTAAGCACCTTGGAGACAAGGACCCATAACTTACCACCTTTAAGGCCCCCAGAGAGCCTAGCACAATGCTTTGCACATGGAAGTTATTTAACAAAAGTTTGCTAATTTCAGTGGAATTTTCTTATGTCATTTTCGCCAAAAATACTTGTAATATAAAGTCACAGAGACTGAATAGGAATTTGCCATTCCTTGTTATTAAAGTGGTGAAGTGCTTTCTTAATCATGAATTTTATTTAAAAATTTTTTTTAGATCCTGGGATCACATCAAACTTGGTGTTTTTGAAACAACCGTCTTCCTTAGTCAGAGTCATTGGTCAGAGTGCAGTATTGCCATGTGTTGCTTCGGGACTTCCTGTTCCAACCATTAAATGGATGAAAAATGAGGAGGCGCTTGAAACAGAAAGGTAATATTGTCTGCCTGAAAGCCTTTTCCGGCCTTAGCTTGGGACTTGGTCTAATTTTATTTGGGACTGTTGATTAATAAAAATGGTTATCTACTTTAGTTTTATTTAAACACATCATAATGCTCATTTGTCATCCTTAAAAATATGTTTATATGCTGTATATGGTTAGGATGTTTAAAGAAAAAATGCTCTCAAAAGATTAAGGGATGGTTATTCCATTTGTTCTTTCTGAGCTGCAGTATACGTAGCTTAAGGGCTCAGGCTCTCCTTCCCTAAATTATTGCAAAAGCTTCCTGTCCTGACTAGCCTGAGACTTCTTACTCACTCTTATATGTATTTTGTTGATAGTAGTGTTTTTCCTTTACTCAAACGCTGAGGGAAAATGTATCTCATCATTTTATTTTTGCTTTTTAAAAATGAAATCAGCCTTCTTCTAGAATCACAAATTCTTCATTTTCCACAAAAGCCTTTTCTGTTAACATCCATCACTGTGTCATCCATCCCATCCCTTCCTTAATTCCTTATGGTCTGGATAGTTTTCTCAGTTGTATTCTGATAAGAGAGCTGAGGTGGTGGTGGTGGTGGTGGTGGTGGTGGAGGAGATGGTTAGGTATGGTTTGTTTCCAAAACATGTCATCCATTTTATCTTTGCATTGTCGGATGTTTAGTAACATTCCTGGCCTCTACCCACTCGATGCCAAAGCACTCCCAAGTTGTGACAACCAAAAATGTTTCTAGATACAGTCAGATATGCCTTGGGGCACAATATTATCCCTAATTAAGGACCACTGTTCTAGAGCAGTCCTGTCCAATAGAAATATAATGAAAGCCATGCCTATATCTGTATTTATCTATACCTATCTATATCAGGTGTGATCAAACTACAGTGAATCTTTAAATTAAAAAAACTTATTACAGTAAAAGTCACATTGCTATTAATCCCCTCAAAATACTCCCCCTTGCTTCGAACACACTTATCCCATCATTCTTGCCACTTTCTGAAGCAGTTCTGGAAGTCCTTTCTCGTGAGTGTCTTTAGTTGTGCTGTTGTGGCTGCCTCGATGTCCTGAATCGATTCAAAATGTTTCCCTTTCATAGTCATTTTGACTCAGAGGAAGAGTCAGAAGTGGCACAGGGCCAGATCCAGTGAATAAGGTGGATGAGGACACACCATAATGTTTTTATTTGACAGAAATTGCTGTTCTAGAAGTGATGTGTAACACGGCTGCTGCCGAGTGCCATCCAATTGAAAGGCAGGGATCTTCAACACGGGAAGCTGTGCATTGACCCTTAGTAACAGTGTGTGACAAGTTTCAACTTGTTCTGTGCATCCAGTCGGGTGTGAGCTTCAGTTGAGAGAAGGTGTGTTTGAAAGTGTGCTGTTAATCATCCTCCATCATGACAACACTCCGTGTCACGTGTCATTTCTGGTATATGGCAATTTCTGTCAAATAAAAACATTACAGTATGTCCTTATCCACTTTATTCACCGGATCTGACACTGTGCAACTTCTGGCTCTTCCACAAAGTCAGAATGATTCAGGACATGGAGGCAGCCACAACAGCACAACTAAAGACACTCACAAAAGAGGACTTCCAGAACTGCTTCAGAAAGTGGCTAGAATGATGGAATAAGTGTGTTCGAAGTGGGGAGGAGTATTTTGAGGGGCATTAATGGCAATGTGTCTTTTACTGTAATAATTTTTTTAATTTAAACATTCATTGTATATTTTTATCACACCTTGTATATATAATTTTAAATTTTCTGGTAGCTGCATTAAAAGAGTAGGAAGTATTCATGCACTACTAAATACGATAATAATAATTTATATAATGTACCAGTTAAAGTGAAATGTAGTTTTACCAATACAATAAAGTTTGTGTTTAGCACTGCTTTAGCTTTTACATTTAAATAAAAATTAAATAAAATAAAAAATTCAGTTCCTCAGTCATTCTAGCCACATTTCAAGTGTCAGTAGCCACATGTGGCTAGTGGCTCTCCATTTGGACAGAGCAGGTCTAGAGTTCCTTAATCGAATAATTCAAAGTAGACAATCTTAATTTGTATAGTTCAGTAACCAAGACATCAAAAGGGATATTTGTCTAGTCAGCTTGTTAGATCAACCTTCAGTGATCAGTGGGGATAATAGAATACAATCAGATTGTTTTCATATGTTCCATTAGCAAAAACTGATGGTATCATCTCCAGCATCACCTGGTTTCTTTCTCAACATCCATACAGGCACAACTTCTTCTGCATATATTTTACTTCCTTTCTTCCCACTCCTTTCCCAGCTAAATATTATGCAAAGAATTTGTAAGACTTCAAGGGGATTTTTTAAACATATGCTAACAAACATAGGGAACATTAACTTAGGGGATAGAAATGTCAAGCTTTTAGAGAAGAAATTTTTATTAGCTACATGTTAGAACAAAATCTTTATCAGGAACAGGAAAGCTGAAATCAGTTATTTTAAAAACTTGAATATTTTGTTATCATAGAAGGAAATTCTGAGATGTATAAAATATAGGCGTTGCTTTCTTATATAAGAAATAAAAGTGAGGATTTCTGTAATTCTCATTTGTTCATTCAATAATCGTTCAACAAATATTTATTGACTACTGATGATGTTAGACACTGTTCCAGGTACTGAGAACAGTAATGAACCAAATAGACTTTTTGCTCATATTCTAGTGGGGAAGAGTCAGATAATAATCATATAAATATATAAAATTTCAGTTTATGATAAATGCTATGAAGAAAATTAAGACAAAGTATGTGATGGATGCCAAGAGAGGTACAGGTGGAATTGCTGTTTTATACAGTGTGTTAGAGAATTGTTGTCTTATAGTGGTTCTCAGATCAGGGTCTGGGTGGATCAGAGGTATAGGAATCATGATAGAAATGTTGCGTATCTTCCTTTTAGGTTACATCAAATTGTTACACCTGATTTTATTCCAAGATATTTCTGAGGGGAAGTATTTCTTTTTTATTTATTAAATTTATTGAGGTGACATTCATTAGTAAAATTACATAGGTTTCAAGTATACATTTCTATAATACTTCACCTATATATTGCATTGTGTGTTCACCACCCAGAGTCAGTTCTCCTTCCGTCACCATAAATATGGGAAGTGTGTTTTAATTAAACCAAATGTGGATATACCATGGCTAGTAATATTCCTGTGAATTTTAAGGATAAACCAGGAGACTTATAAGATTGAGTAGACTGTTTTCTACCTTGATTTCTCTAGGTTTCTTCATACTTGGGTTATGTGGTTGAAAAGCCTGGGAAACATTGCTTGATATATTACTGCCTTGGGAAGTTTCAGCAGAATATAAGAGTAGGACAGTGTTGGTGTTGTTCACATTGTATTTCCTGACACTAGTATGGTGCTTAGCATATAACGGGGCAGGGAGTGTGGTGACCAATACATTTTGGTTGAATGCTTGAATGTAGTATAGGAAAATGTAAGTCGGTGAATGGAACACAAAAGTGCTTCAGGTTAGACATAGGTAATTACTCAAACTATCTTTGTTTCAGCAGAGCTTTATATGCTACGTACATGGGCCTTAGCTAGTTATTTAGACTATAAATTGGAGAGAAATTTAGAAATTGAAAGAAAAAACTGGCTAGAAACCCAGATAGTACTGATTCAGCTCTAATAAAAAAATCTTAAATTAGTAGACTTCTTTCTCTACTACTAACCTTAAGACATCTTTGAAAATAAATATTTTAAAACATTATCACAGCTTTTATAAATGTCTTAAGAATTGATAGAGTTACTTAATCTTTGATCAAATTTGTTCAGATTCCTACCAAACATAGCTATTGAAGGGGTGGTGGTGGAGGAAATGTATCCTATTCATTGAGAAGTTTTATTTTAAAGGGAGGGAATCCAGAAAATACAAATGCTAAAGTGCAAGGCGATTGAGAGCAAAATGTAATTTAGTAATCAAATAATATTGTGTTCAAGTGGAATGATAGATCAGAACCCGGCAGCAAAGGGACAGGTTATAGTTATAAAAATGCTTAATGTTATTAGAATTGACAATAGTAAAAAAATTAGATTACTTAAAAAACAAGTAGAGGACTTCCTTTATAGGAAGATGGAGTAGATGTATTTTCCCCCATTCTATCCGCTAAGTACAACTAAAAACCATGGAAATTATATATAAAACAAACAAGAAGAGTCTAAAAAGTGGAGAGAGGAAGATGGACTGGCTAGGGAACTTGGCACCCAAGAAACAACATGATGGTGCATTCCCCGATTTTGTTTTTGCCCTATATATGACAATTTAAACTGAAGAAGCGAGCAGCCTACAAACACCAACAGGTACATACAGAAAAGCTCTAACAAAAGTGTGTTCTCTCTAGCCAAAGGACCAGGAAAGGGACAGTCTAGCAAGACAAAAACTGTCAGACTACCATCCCTCCTATTCCAGCCAAAAACCACAGAAGAAACCGGCCCCACCCTCCCCCATGCCAGCAAAGGCCAAGTGGAAAGCCTGACTTCCACCCTCGCCAGGTTGTAATGAGGTCCCTCAGCCACCCTGCTGTATGGTGTCAGAAGCTAAGTGGAAGCCAAGACTTTCCTCCTAACCAGGTAGTGTCAGTGGAATCCACATGGGGGAGCCTGACTTTTATCCTACCCCACAGTAAGAGACACTTCTTCCCTTCCCTATGGAGATGGTATCAGAGGAGGATAGTGGAGAGTCAGAACTTTTACTACCATGTGGTACTGAGCCCACCGCCCCCCCTCCCACACACACACACACTGTATCAGTGAATGCTGCATGGGGGACAGTAATGCAGTAATGAGGCACTTTTGCTGCGCCCTGCTGGGGGCAGTGTCACTAGGGGCCTAATGGGGAGCCAGAACTCCCAATCCCGCTAAGGAGTAATGAGGAGTCCCCCCTTCCTCTTAGGGATTAATGGGGTGGGGAACCTGGACTTCTGTCTCCACCTGACAGTGAGAAGGAGGCATCTCCTCATGCC